TATTTATGATGGGTTTTTTTAATTAAGACCTACTAAAGACTAATTTAAGACATTTTAATACCAATTAAGGCCTTAGTTTATTTTGAAGAATTCAATGCCTTTTAAGACTTTTTAAGGACTCGCGGGAACTCTGCAAATAGAGCAGATCCTAGCTCACAAGTCTGTGACCCTGAATGCTGTTTTTACTTAAGTTTGAAGTTAGTGACAAAACAAAATCTATAAAAGTTAAAAAATATAATGAAAATCTGTTTGGAAAATTTACAAGAAACTAAATATGTTTGTTAAAAGCAAATAATGAACAAGCATTAGTGATCATATCCCTAAAGATGAGTTGTTTTAACTGTGTTCGTGGGGTTAAAATCAAAGCTGAGCTATGGTGTGGTAATCTTTCCTCTGGATGTACCTGGGTCGATGGCGATACCTCGAGGCAGCGCTGCAGGATCGAAGGTTAGGGGGATGCGGTACATGTCTGAAGCTGCCAGGCCAGGGATCAGCCGCTCATAGGCCTGCTGATCTGCCACGGAGGTGAGAGGCGACTTGGTGGCCCTCATCTCTCTGGGAATCGGTGTGGCTTTACGCTCCTGAGAGGAATTCTTTCCAGACCCTGAATCACAAGAAAGAGAAATTTAAGTTATCCTAATGCTAAAAACAAAGGGATAGACTAAGAATGCTCCATGTGTTTGATAAACCCACCATCATGCTGCCTTGCCTCCCGGGGCAGAGGGGATCCACGGTGTGAGCTGCTATAAGGGGTCCTAATAGCACCTTTCTCCTCATAACCCATCAGGCTTTGATGGGCTTTGCCTCCCTGCTCTGACGCCAGAGTGAGCGGGGAGGAGCGCGGTATGGGGCTAGCTGTGCTGACCACTGCGCTAGGCCGACCCTTATGTCCTTCTTCATACCGGCTCCTGTCGGGACGCATCTCCAGGTGGGGGGTCGGGCTGTGATAGGACGGGGCTATAATGGAGCGGACATCGTGGCGTTTCCCCGAACCGCCGGGGTCCTGCTTTACAGCTGTTCCCTGCAGACAGAAACAACAAGATCATGAGCAAATGCAGCTTCTTGGTTTGCTTTAATTTCACGTTTTGTAACCAATCAAAAAACTGCAAGCCTCTCATTTCTTGTTGAATCCCAACTTTTCCATAAACAAACCATAACTAACAGAGGAGGTGGAATAAATCTCCCACAGAGCATCCAGCAATAATTTCCCCTAAAAATTGTTTCTCAAAAATATCTAAAAAACAGAAAATCCCCGTTACATTTGATACATTTTTAATATATCTTAAGCACGGACAAACACCAAACAGTATTTATCCCGCTTTTGGACCCTGGTGTTTCTCATCATTCGTTGTTCATACTTTATTCTTGGGTATTATGTCCATATAAAAGAGCTGAAACATCTGATCTTATAATTAGTGAGAAGCATGAGGCGTAATGTTCAAACCTAAAGCAGCAGAAGCAGCTAGTTTACATGCAAAGTCAATGGTTTAGGTGCATCAAGGGGCAACAAAACGTCCCGCAGCGCATTTGGAGCAGCAGGGGCAGTGAGTCATGAGCTTCTGACGCGCTGGATGCGCTGCGAAAGCAGCAGGTGCTGGAGTTGGAAAAATTAAACTTTTGCTGCTCAACGCGTCACATCAACCAATCAGAGAAGCTGATCTTGGAGCTGGTAGGGAGTCAGACACAGCACTGCTGATGCAGATCACTATGACCACCCCTCTGAAACAGTTAATTAACTTCTAAATTAACTTAAAGTGCCGAAATCTGCTGGCAGCACATGTTCGATTTTATTATTCGGGTGCCTGCAGTTTGGATTACGTACACGAAAAACGCTAACATCTACTTTCAGCTGCCGCGAATAGTAGCAGCAAACCGCGAAGAGGCGACCGGGCCAGAGGCTGCTGTTGAAGGGGATTCCCAGTAACAGAGCAGCGCCGGTGTACGAGGGTCTGAGCTCCGAAAGTAAAATAATATTTGAAGGCAGGATGGTAATCTGGATGAACTTATTGCACTGATGAAATTTTCAGATGGACTTTCTGACTTCAAAACATATTAAAGCTAGTTTTTACCCACTGATGACAGCAAATCTAGCTTCCATTGTTACAGGCAAAGAAGGGATCGGGTAGATCCACCAAACGTGCAGCAGACCTACTTCGACGGAGCAGCTGGAGCAGCAGAGGTTTTTTAGCCCAAGTCAGAACTAAACTTGCGTTTTTGTTGCTCCTGCTGCTTGCCTTCTGAACGTAGCATAAGACTGACTAAATTTCCATAGATTAGAACGGTCCAAGTGTAGCAACTGTTGATGTGAGAAGCATCCATTCAGAATGCTGGACATCGTTGTGCTTCAAGACTTATAATCACTGTTCAAACTAGGGCTAAACATTTTTGCCAAAAATCTAAATTGTGATTATTTTTCACCAAATTTGCAATTTTTTTTCCTTGATTTTCCTTTGCACTAACCCCAGGCTTGTAGACGGTTCTCCCCAAGTCTTTCGGGTTTTGAGAACTTGCTTGCCCAGCGTTCATTGTTGCAGGACTTCGTTGTAATCATTAGGCGAAAAAGTTATCATTTCTTCTTGCATACATGGATCTGTGAGCTAGCTACCACTCTCTCTAGCTTTCTGTGTGGCGACAAACCCAATACAAGCATTTAATCACCACCTAAAGGGCTGGAGGGAGAAATTTAGAGTCCTACTCGATTGTGAAAATAAGTGATTTGATTGTGTTTTGTTTTATTATATTGCAAATGCAATAATTTGCCCAGCCCTAGTTTAAACTGATCTAAAAGTAACTGAAAACATATTTTAAAATAGTGTGTAACCCCTAATTAGTCAAAATAAATAAGATGATTTGAAAATTGGAGGAGTATTTCTGCCAGTAATGTAAAATAGTGCACTTTTGAAATTTGATATTAGGGTGTTTTTTTATTTTATTTTATACATAAATGTTGTTCAAGACAAGGCAAAATCCACCCTGCAAGTATAAGTCTAATTTAGTCTTGAAACATTTCTTACAAATCCAGCTGAAATTTCCCAACCGGAGGTTACACACCGTTAATCAGCGGTTACTTTAGCCACTGCTCACTGTGTGAAAGTGGTTTTTTAAAAACACTAACTGAAATTAAATTAAAAGCTGGGGATGTTCAGCTAGAAAGAATTGTTTTCCCTCTATGAAACTGTTTCAGAGTTTGTCAAAAAGGTCCTACTTCAATAACAGGGATGTTTTTGTTTACATTTCCACCCATTATTCAGTCAGACTTCTCTTCTGGATCCAGTAGATGAAAAAAAAAAAAATCTCCACCTAGTATAATCTTGACTTCATTCTTAAAGATGGGGGCGATAAATCTGTGTAACAATTAGCCATGATTTAGTCGGTGGCCGGGGGTTCGTTTTGAGTTCTAACGGTGTGTTCATAGACCAAAGCTAAAAAGCTCAGGGACTTTTGTGTTTTGGTTGATCTGATTATCGCCAAAGCCGATGGACAGCTGGGGAATTTGTAATAAAGAGCTCACCTGTGATATGCTGCCCTCCTTGGCAGATTGTCTGAGCTCATCTCTTGGAATGAGGTGTATGGAGCGTCCGGCCTCCTTCACTGTGGGCACAATGGTCTCCCTGCCTTTCATCGGGTCAGAAAGAGAACCGGGGCCACGTGTTGGGGAGGCCTCTCGCCTTATCTGCTTAGCTTCCCTCCTCATGTAGGCATCCTGGGCGTCTAGATGGCGAGGTATACCTGAAATCAGGAGGGTGCATTAATGCCAGTTTCATGTGAACAACTAAGCTGTGGGTCACACCTTTTTAATACGCCTTAAAGAATTATACCTTGTGAGATGGAGCCTCGGATATGATGAGTATCTTTGTACGGTGTGCGATGTGGGCTGTCTCTGTCATAAGGCATGGCACGACCGACCAGACCTGAGACACGGATATGATGAAAGAAGGGTTTGGAAAAAGGCTATTTCTTTGATAAAACCATGTTTGGCTCAGATTGAGGTCTGCCTAAACAGGATACAGTCATACTGTATCTCATTAAGGAAATGAGGTGTTTAATCAGGTCCGCTCTGACCTTCACAGTTGGCAGCAGACATGGAGTCTCTCATCGGCAGCCCTCGGCCTCCTTCCATGGCATCATAAGACCGCTTCATGCTCAGAATTTCTCCAGACAGTCCTGAACCTCGGCTGTCTTCTTTGGGAGTCTGAGATGGCGGCGCTGTAATGTTCATTCAGACAGATGCAGAGTTTTCTAGGAGCAATTCAACGGCTAGTAAATGGATATTAGGTAGAGCTCATGAACTCACGGTCATAGCTGACGATTTGCCCGCTGACGCCCTCGTAGAGGACCTGTCCTTTAGCCGGTGCCTCGTCCCGCTCCCTGTCGCCTTGGCCGGATCTGTCCTCTGAGATTAGACGTGATATAGTTTCTCTATACAGCACATCTGCGGGTGTCCCCTGAGATAATGAGAGAAGAAGAGAGGCATGAAAAAAACCCCGAATAGTTAAATTGTTTCTTTAATTGAGTCCAATTGTTTTATTTTGATTTTTCTTCACTTTTTTCACCCCTCCGACAGGTGAAGATCACGATTTTTGTGCCCTGCTTTGCAGATGTAGCTCTGGGACTATATGTCCCAAAGCTGGATGATAAGGTTCTACTTGGTACTTTTATATGAAACTTTATTGGAAATGATTAAGGGAGTAAAATCATATACAACAGAGACAAAGAGGGAGGTGGGAAAGAAAAAGGGGATAAGAGCTAAGGGGAGATAGAAGAGGACAGACAGGAAAGCATGCATGAAAAGAGGAAATAAAACATAACGGCAAAAAATATAGACTACAGAAGAAATACACCAATTCCTAGAAGTCTAGTTTCACGTCTGTATGAGACATGAGGGACAGAAAACAGAGAGCGTAACAACAAACAGAGAACAACAGACAACCAAAGCAAACTAAAAAAAAAAAAGCTTCCAGAGGAGCAGGTATCCTTTAAATATCCGTGTGTGGAAGAAAAAAAAAACTATGGTGATTACGCACCATTATTAAGGGTGGTATATATCTGTAGCTGCAGCTTAGTATTTATTATTAGCGTGTATCCATGAACACCTGGAACAAAACTTCTGTGTTATGTATACATGAGCATTTGGGGTGGAGCGGTTCACAAAATCCACGGTTCGGTTCGGTTCACGGTTTCGTGGTCAC